TTCAACAGTTCGTTGCGGTGACAATTTTAGAGCATCAAATTTTTAAACTTGGTACCTAATTAGCACTAAAAAAGCCCCTAATTTTGGGGTTTTCTAAATGCAAATTCCTGACTTTGCATTGCTGGCAATCAGATGCAATGTCCAATAGAAATTTATAATTATATGAAAAATAAATTCGAAATATATTACGAACAATCTAAATATGTACAAAAATACATTTGAATAGCAATAGAAATAAAGAATTTTGGATAAATAATAAAATTAACAATATGTGCCAAAAAAAAGAATTTAATTTTAATCAGTGGAGAAAAGATACGAATAATCATATACTTAGATCAGAATTAAATAAACAGCGAAACAAAACTCAAAAATTAATTGAATAGACTTTTCAATTAATTTTTGAGAAATAAACAAATACTTTAATGATATAATTAACAATAATAAAATTAATAAAAAGAAAATGTGGAATACATTAAACACACTGTCTGGTCGCGTCTGTAAGTCAGTAGATGAAGCTGTAATCAAAGCATTTAAGAATAACAACTTATCATTAAAAAATATAGCTAACAATTTTGGTAAGGAATTCTGCGAAAACGAAAATTTTGCCTAGGTGCAGCAAAAAACTCATGTCAGATGTCCCCCCACTAGATGGAGTGACGACATGGTAAGATATGCAGGAAGTCGATGGATGCAGGGGGCTCAGGACCGTGCTTTGTGGCAGCAGCATGTTCAGCAGTGGACTTGTGAAGGGCTGTAATGATGATGATGATGATGACGAACACTATTTACAAAATTGATTTCACTAACTTATGTACCAAGTTTAGACCCAACGTCTAGTACTCAATTCTAGTAAAACTAAAATTATTCATGCCCGCTCTAATTATCTACTCAATTTTGTTAACCAGTGCTTGCATATTTTTCAAACAAATAGGACCAGTTGCAAATGTGGGTTGTTTGAACAGGTTCCTCGTTACAAATACTTAGGACTAGTAGTTGATAACAGAATTAACTGGGGTTATCATATTGACACAATTAATGGCAGACTGAGGGCAATGTTAGCTAAATTAGTTATCTTGAAATACAAAGTACCATTTAAAATATTACTAAATCTATATAATGCACTCGCAGAGTCAATCATTTCATATGGGATCACTAGCTATGTTAGGACATTTAAAACTTATTTGGACAAAATGTACAGCTTTCAACTTCGGTTTTTAAAACTAATATAAACTAATAAAATTAAAAAATCAATCTGCTCCGATGACGATGTATTGGCCTTATTTAAATATTGTAAAATCTTACCTAATCATATAAAAATAAACATGTGGCTATTAATTGAACAATTTACTTACAAAGAACTAAAATAAAAGTCAATCATAAAATAACGACACGGAAAAAAGTTCAATCAAAACTAGAAATACCAAGAGTCAGAAACTATTACGGAAAACGAACAAATGCGTATTTAAACTCTCATTAATGACATACCAACTAAAACCCAATTAGAAATAACGGACAAAAACTATAAACATAAATATAAACAATACTTTTATTCTTTATTTTCATAACAATTTCTAATTTTAATCAAATCAAACCTAACGTAATAACATATCGATAATTGCAACATTCTGTATATAACCCACTTAAGTAGCAACAGCCAGGAGCCAGCTCTATGGGCATGCGGCGGCCAACTGCTCTGGCCCTCCCCCCCTCCCCAGCTTGATTAAGTGCCCAGACCCTGACAGCTCGAAAGAACCAATACCAGTCTCACTGGTGGTGTTTAGTGGGTAGGCACTTAGGTTTCGCAGTGAGTCCCACATAACCACGGCAGCCGGCTGTCGTGGTATGCTTAGAGCATTCACCACCTCCCTTCCTCACTTGCCGGAGGGTAGCCCTTTCCATTGCAACTGGGCGCAAAGAAAAACAGCCAAGATCATTCCGCTTGCGCCATCGCCCCCGTGCGGTTGTGTGCTAGTGGGGTCCGCTAGCTAACCGAGCACCCGTCCCCATATGGGAATTCCTCAGTCAGTTCAGTCGAGGAATAAAACGTCAGTCCCGTCCGGTTGCCACCGCACCAGTGCGGTTGTATTAGCTGACCACTTTACTTCGTACGGTAAGTGCCCTCCCGCCTCAGCTAACGCCACTGTCTCCGTGTGGTTGTGTTAGCTGTCCGTGCTCATCGTCCCCGTACGGTGAGTGCCTTTCCGTCTTCGCTACCGTTGCCGCCCCCGTGCGCTTGTGTTAGGTGCCCACGCTCACCGTCCCCGTACGGTGAGTGCCTTCCCCCTTTCCCGCCTTCGCTAGCACTGCCGCTCCCGTGCGGTTGTGTTAGTTGACCCACACTCCCATCCCCGTACGGTTGTGCTCCGCGCCCCCCTTCACTAATGGGAGTCGCTTACGATGCGGCAAAGAGGTCATTCAGGCCAGAGCCAGTCCCACAAGTGGTGTTTAGTGGGTAGGCACTTCATTGTGAGCCCCACATAACCAGGCAGCCGGCTGCGTGGTATGCTATGAGTATTTATCATCTCCCTCCCCCACTTCCGGAGTGTAACCTTGCTTTGGGCGCAAAAAAAAACAACAACCGCCTGCGTCGAGCCGCTATCTATAACCGGTTCTAATATAAATAAATATAATCTAATATGTAAACAATGTACCCATAACTGCTAATATTGTATTTTTGATTTTCTTATAAAGTAATATATGTGTAAAATAATGTCAACAGATTGCTCGAAAGTATCTCAACATCCAGACAAACCCGTAAGGGTTTTTGTGATGTTTTTATGTTTATATTGTGTGTATGTTTTTTTTTCATTAAATAATTAAAAAAAATACATTTTACAGTGATTAGACATTTTGTACATTTTATTAATTTTTTGTATAAAAAGGAGTCAAATAGAGACGGTAGAATGATTATCCCTATTCACTACCTTCACTACATAGACTCAGTAACTTATCATATAATCCTCTATCTACGACGTTTAGTAATCTATGCAATATATTTTTTTATAACTGACTTTACGGCTCTGGGTTCTAGCCTTTCTGCGCCTGAAGTAACTATGTATAACTATCCTTCATAGTACATTGCTTCAAAATATGTTGATGCGTCACATTGTGCAGCCCTTGGGAAATTTTGACGGCAACTTGAGCAAGCAGACAGCTGACAGTTGGCAATGGTATCTCAAGGCGCCTAAGCAGACACCTTATCTTGAGGTTCATATCACCATCAGAGGACTTGTTTCACCGTTTGCGATCTTTTATCGGATTATTGCATCAAAGCTATCCACACCCGCCAGTGAAAACTTCGCAGACGCGCTACAGTAGCGCGGCAGCCGCAACAGCACCCTGAATGCATTATTGTATTGAGTACGTAGGGCACTATAGGCATTTTTGGTGTAGTTGGTTCATAAGCTGCTAGAATAAAACGACGCACAATATCCTTTGAAAAGCGTGATCTTGACAGCGTCAGTGCAGCGACCAAATCTATGCACCAACATATTCGCCCTGACCGACAGTGCCCAACGTTCTCTTTCAATGTCTTCATCGTCTTTAAGACTGTCAGTCACAATATGTCCAAGATATTTAAAACTATAGACCCTTTCTAGTGGTTCATTATAGAGCTTTATAGACTTATACAATACTATGACATTTACTGCCAGCCTTAAATACGATGAACTGCGACTTGTTGGTATTGTATAGTAAACCATGTGAGACAGTGAATTTTTCACAAACACCGATTAGAGCTCTCAGCGCATTAACTGAGGGTGCCAGCAGAACCATATCGTCCGCGTAGCTGTTATTGTTCACACAGATCTTGCCGATATGGCATTCAGACACGCATACTGCTGAGCTCTCGAATAAGTGCATCTATATATAGGTTGAAATGCTTCGGCGATGTCAGCCCGTACGCCATCCTGTACGGCTCGGAATATTCATTTGCCCATCTCACATAGTTCACCTGATTACTATACCAATCCTTAAGCAATTCAGTGTAGCTGTCAGGTAAACCTACGTTTTCTAACTTACGCCACAAGATGTCGTTAAGATCGAAAGCTTTACTCAGGTCTAGAAAACAGGCGTACACCGGTGTGCACCTGTCCGTGTAATATTTAAACTCATTATTGATGTTTCTATCGATAGACCATGCGTGAAATCATGCTGGCCATCATGTAGCATACAGTGGTTTTCTAGAATAGAGTTAAGCACACTGTCAAATATCATGGCTATTATCGTTGCCAATGATATTGGTCTATATTTCGATCTCTCTGATACGTCACCCGTACGGTTTTTTACAATGGGGACAACTGTAGTTTTCTCATTAAGTCGGCAGGCAACTAGGAATGCGAAACACAAACATTAAATAATAGTGCCAAATCTCTAGGTAAATGCTCACCTATATTATGTACGTCTATAAGCCAATATGTTCTAAGTCTATGGTATCCTCTTAGTAGTATGTGATTGGAGTTTTGGCGGGAACTTGACCGGCGAAGGATTTCTGCTCCTTTATTATTGTTTAAATAATGGTTTGAAGTGAATTTTCGATATGTAAAAGTGGTGCGATTTTGTGTATTAAATGTCTGCCCATGTGAACTTTGTGAAATTAGTGGAAACGGTGAAACAAGTGCTCTGATGGTGATGTGATTCTCAAGATAAGGTGTCTGTCTGCTTAGGCGCCTTGAGATACCATCGCCAACTGTCAGCTGTCTGCTGGCTCAAGTTGCTGTCAAAATCTCCCAAAGGCTGCACAATGTAACGCATCAACATATTGTGAAACAGTGTACTATGAAGGATAATTATACATTAACTTCAGGCTCAGAAGGGCTAGAGCCCAGAGCCGTAAAGCCAGTTCTTAAAAAAAAGTCTGTGATTTATTCCATCTTCCATGCTCTGTGGTTCTCGTTGCACAATTCTCTAATTCTCTTCGTTTTTATTAGAGGTTATAACTTATAATTTCTATAATTTGTAGATCATTGCGAGAGGTATTAATTTAGCTTAAGTGTTTAAAAATGGCGCAAAGTAAATTAAACGATATGGCAGGAAAATTTGCAAAAGGTGGGCCACCCGGGCTCGGTATTGGATTGAAAGTGGCAGCTGCGATTGGTGCAGCGGCTTACGGTGTTTCTCAGTCGGTATTTACCGTCGAAGGTGGTCATCGTGCCATTATGTTCAACAGAATTGGAGGTGTTCAGCAGCACGTTATGTCTGAAGGAATGCACTTCCGTATTCCATGGTTCCAGTATCCCATTATCTATGACATAAGATCACGTCCGCGAAAAATATCTTCTCCTACTGGTTCAAAGGATTTGCAAATGGTAAATATTTCTTTACGAGTACTATCACGGCCCGATGCTCGTCACCTAGCTGTAATGTATCGGCAGCTTGGCACTGATTACGATGAAAAAGTACTGCCATCAATCTGCAATGAAGTTCTTAAATCCGTTGTTGCAAAATTCAATGCTTCTCAGCTTATAACTCAACGTCAACAAGTTTCTTTGTTAATAAGAAGGGAATTAGTGGAACGTGCTGCTGACTTTAATATAATCCTAGATGATGTATCACTCACTGAATTGAGTTTTGGTAAAGAATACACTGCAGCTGTGGAAGCGAAACAAGTTGCTCAACAAGAAGCTCAGCGAGCTGCTTTCGTAGTTGAAAGAGCTAAGCAGGAGCGCCAACAAAAGATTGTGCAGGCTGAGGGTGAGGCTGAAGCTGCTGAAATGTTGGGTAAAGCCATGGGAATGAATCCTGGTTACCTTAAGTTGCGTAAAATCCGAGCAGCCCAAAGTATTTCTAGAATGATTGCACAGTCTTCAAATCGAGTATTTCTGTCTGGCAATAGCCTTATGATCAACCTGCAGGATCCCTCTTTCGATGATTTGTCAGAGAAATTGACTAAAAAGAAGTAACATGAGGCTGAGGGAGAGGGTTCCGAATATCTGGAGACAGTAACCACCCTTTCCAATGATGAAACTGCAGTTATAATCAGTGGTGCTGCTTCAGTAGCTATTTAAAATTGAACAATTGCATTTGAAAATTTTTAAACAGTGTAAACATTTCTGCAATTTTCATGTCAATATTGCATTTTATGTTATTTAGTTGTAGGCATTTAGTATATAAAGGGAATCAAATAATTACAATAAAAATTAAAAAAAACCTTGTTCTATTTTATTGGAAGAGTATAACCCTTTTTATGTTGCTAATGCTAATGCATATTGCATGTATTTTTTTTGCGTAGTTGAAGAAATGTTGCATTGCAGTAGCATTAATTATAATCTTACTAATTTTTATGGAAATTGTGTTAAAATATTGTGTGATGTCATAGTTTTTGTAGTGAAATAACTATTCAATTTATATATTTAAATAAAACTAGTTTTTACGGATTTTATAGTGTATGTTAACTTATTTTATATTCCAAACTTTTTGAGCACTATAGCAAACATGATCACGGGGAAGCTCCCACCTTTTTGAGCACTTTACAGCACCCATGGTCACAGTTAGGTCCCTCACAAACATCCGAGGTCTGCATAATAATTGGAATGCCATCTTGAGACTCACAAGCCACACTTACTCTTCTGGACTGAGAAGCAATTCGATCTCTTATTGTGGCATACCTTGGCTACTCTGGGTACAATGACATTGTTTCTGTCACCATGAAGACCCCACTTACTCCACAATTTGGTTATTAATAGGCACAGGAATAGATAAATTGTTCAAGTATCTATCCAGGTGTGTTCAGGAGACAAAGACTATTTAAACATCTCAGTGAGACCTCTGATCCCTTCCCCGCTTCCGGAGAGTAGCCTTGCTATGGGCGCAAAAAAAAACCTGTGATGTGGCTCTAAATCGGTACCCTTCTGCACAGCTTGTCTTTTCTAAGTGTTAGCCATAAGAAGTGCGCCTTTAACCAAGCCGCCATGTTCTATAATAACCGGCCAAGTGCGAGGCAGACTCTCGCATGAAGGGTTCCGTATTGTAATACACGTTTCTAGTAGGGGAGCCCCTTTTAATTTTTATTATTTGTTGTTATAGCAGCAACAGAAATACACATTCTGTGAAAATTTCAACTGTCTACCTATTACGGATCATGAGATACAGCCCGCTGGCAGACAAACGGACGGACAGCGGAGGCTTAGTAACAGGGTCCCGTTGGTTACCCTTTGGGTACGGAAACCGAAAAGTAATGCCTTTTCGGCAAGCCAGTTTCGACCGCATTCAACGCATCGGCGCAAAGCTCTTTGTCAAACTATCGGACAGTGGAGCTTCTTGGTCTCTCGCCAAAGCGGTTGCGCTTTCATTAGGTATATTATACAGGTATATAATCAAAACGTTCGAGACAAATTTATGCCGGTCTACACTGCCTCCGCTCGTTATGCCAACTAGTTTTTGCTTGCAAATAGCGTCTAGATATTAGGAACAGCGTACCACCTCAATTACCTCACTGCGGTAGGTAAGTATGTACTTACCCGCATGTTAGAGGTTCTTAAAACCTTACGGAGTCTAAACGTGAACAAAGCTAGTGCACCAGATGGTGTACCAGCTTTATTTCTAAAAGCTTGTGCACCTAAGTTGTCGTGCTTGTTCCATCACTCATTTAGGACTGGAATAGTGTTCAAATTAAGGCTAGCCAATGTGCAGCCTGTGACTAAAAATGGCAGCCGTGCCGACTCTGTTAACTACGTGGTATTTCTACGTGGTAGAGCCATGCTGCAGCTATATTATGGTTGTAGCACGAATGGGTCGGCTCGAACGGGAAAGGACCACGCTCTCACAGAAAACCAGCGTCAAATAGCAGCTTAACGCTGCTGTGTTTCGTATGGTGAGTGTAGAGAACCGGAGACCCTTTTTACTGGCAAAGAGGCATTCCATCTTAGTCCTCACGGGTGACAACGCATCTGCATCTTGAGTCTTTATTGAGGATAGATGTAGATGTCTATGGGTCACAGTAACCACTTACCATCAGGTGGACTGTGTGCTCGTTTGTCACCCGATCCTATAAAAAAAAAAACTATCGGCTAATTTCAATTACCTCCATAGATCTGCAAGATAATGGAGCATATATTGAACGCCCACCTCATAGTATACCTAAAACATAATAACATCTTCAGTAACCACCAGTACGGGTATCGTCAAAATCGGTAAACTGGGGACCTTCTAACATATTATGCCTCTCACATAATTATGATGCGAGGCTTTCGAGAACAGTGGGAACCCTCTTCTTGCTACATATGAAAGATCTGCTTATGCCCGGTATTTATGGGTGGTATACAAACTACAACATAGTATTGAAGAGGTACCAGCGGAATGCTCGAGCCAATCGGGATCAAATACAGTTCGAAAGTGGAGCGAATTAGCGCTTATTGAGCTTGCTAATATCTTATTGCAGGCAGTCTCTCAATAGGGTGATGACAATCTTCACCGCTAGAAGGAACCCGCTTACCCTGGCTCTTACTTTCCGGAAAGTACCTTTAAAGAACCCTGACCGCCTTCAGTTGTTAGGGGTTGAGATTTCTTCGAACCTCAACTATGAGCGGTTTATTGAGTACAGGACCAAAGCAACCGCAAGGAAACTAGGTGTCCCAGCTAAGAGTACGCCGGTACTTCACATCGGGGCAGTTTTTCACCTTATATAAAGCGTAATTCCGTTTGTGCATGGAGTACTGCTGTCAAATATGGGCTAGTGCTGCAAAATGCGTTCAGCTCAGTGGAAAGACGAGCTAAGAAACTTATTAGTGACCTTGATTTGGTTGATACCAATTTTGTCAGCCTCTCCGTATTCCATATAAAGCTTTTCAGAGAGTGTGCGCAGGAATTACATGTTTTAATTCCTCTCTCCCCTTTCCACTGTCGGATAATCAGGCGGTCGGCGAGAGCTCACCGCTTTGTCGTCGATATTTCACGCATTCGAACCAAACGGTTTGCTTCGTCTTTCGTCATGAGTACAGAAAAGGAGTGGAATAATCTGCCGGCGTCTGTCTTTTCATCCGCTTGCAATCTCGGATTCTTTATCGCAAAAGTGAATAGGTTTGTGTTATGCTAAGACAGTTATTTACCATCAAAGGCTTCATCAACACTTGAGGTAGGATTGAAGTCCAGCACTGGCCTTAACATGGCAAAAACATAACTGCTCGGGGCAAACTGAGCAACAAGACCAAGGCGACCCCTGCCACGCTATCCGTGAATTTCTGCAACATCAGGGGACTTCACTCGAACCTAAACGCCGTCCACTACCATCTCGAGACGGCGAAGCCGGCCTTGCTCTTTCTGACCGAGACGCAGGTTCCCTCTCCGGCTGATATTTCGTATCTCTCCTAACCGGGGTACAAATTGGAGCACTCCTTCGTGCCTCGGGCTGGAGTTTGCGTGTATGTCAGAGAGGACATCTGTTCTCGACACCTCGGCAGTCTTGAAGGTTCGGACCTGTCCATCCTATAGCTACGCGTAGACAGCGACGACCATCTGCGCGTCTACGGGTGCCTCTATAGGTCCCATAGCGGTAATGCCGAAACAGACCGACACATTGACCACGTCCAAATGGCTACAGATTCTTTGCTTCAACAGGTCCCATCCGTAGAGATCGTGATCCTTGGCGATTTTAACGCCCACCACGCCGAATGGCTCGGTTCACGTTTAACCGATCATGCGGGGAGATCTGTTTATGACTTTGCTTTGGCATATGGTCTGACACAACTGGTTACTTCGCCTACGCGGATTCCAGATGTGGAGGATCATGCACCTTCCCTGTTGGACCTTTTGCTGACCTCTCATCCGGACGCATATCAGGTTTCCGTCGATTCCCCTCTCGAGTCTTCGGACCATTGTCTGATCCGGAGTGTGGTGCTACTCACGATACCCTCGCGGTTGCGTTCTGCAGGTTGCCGCCGTGTTTGGCATTACAGGTCGGTCCGGATTGGGACGGAATGCGTTCTTTTTTTTTTGTTTAAAAAACGTTACCCCCACACTAGGATTTTCTCCTGTATCGTGGAGGCAGTTTACAAACACAAATTTCACAAGGACAAACATCCAGACCCGAAACAATCATTTGTAGGCCATACAAATACTTGTTCCGTGCGGAATTCGAACCCGCGCCCCCCAGCGCAGCAACTCATTGCTAAGACACTGCGCCACGGAGCCGTCTTTGCATCCTACCCATGGGGGCGGGTTTGCTTCTCGCTGGATGATCCCAGCGCTGTTGCTGACTCTATCACTGATGTGGTACTACAGGGAATGGAACTATTTATTCCATCATCTGTATTACCCATCGGAGGCAGATCTCCGCCATGGTTTAGGCGCTCCTGTAAGACTGCATTACGCAGTAAGCAGGAGTGTTATCAAGCCTGGGCTGCGGCTTCGGCGACTCGGGATGGAAACACCAGCACACTTAAAAAGAAGTATAACTTCGCCTCCAGGTCCTTCAAAAGAGTTATTGCCAGGGCAAAGTCACAGCACATAGGCAGAACTGGCGAGAAACTAGTCCACCTTCCTTCGGGAACCCGTGCATTCTGGTCTCTCGCCAAGGCTGTCCAAGGGAATTTCTGTAAGCCATCACTACCATCTCTGCACAGGGAGGACGACTCACTGGCCCAAGACGCAAAAGACAAAGCCGACCTTTTAGGCTCCCTTTTTGCGTCCAACTCGACTCTTGATGACGTAGGGAAAACACCGCCGACCATTCCGCGGTGTGAGTGCTCCATACCGGATGTGCTGTTCTCACAGCGCTCAGTTCGCATAGCACTCCTCTCCCTGAACATCTAGAAGTCGAGTGGGCCTGACGGAATACCCTCAATTGTGCTTAAGACGTGTGCTCCGGAGTTGGCACCGGTTCTAACGCGTCTTTTCCAGTACTCCTACTCCCAAGGCGTATTCCCGAATTCATGGAAGACAGCTTTTGTCCACCCGATCCCTGTAA